GACTTGCGTTGCTGGTTTTATGACATCACTGTGAATGATGACAATGGGCGCCTCCTGCTGACCATCAGCGACATCCAATCTTGGCACGCCGGACCCTACCGCTGTACCAGCCTGAATGCCACCGACAACACCACCATCTCGGATGAACTGGACTTGCAGATGGAGTGTATGTGGGGGTTTGGATTCCCCTTAACAGATAACAGATAATCAGAGTTGGAAGGGACCTTGTAGGTCATCTAGTCCAACCCCCCACCCAAGCAGGAGACCCTACACCATTTCTGACAGATGGGAGTCCAATCTCTTCTTGAAAGTCTCAAGTGATGGCACTCCCACAACTTCCGAGGGCAACTTCTATTTCATGGGTTGATTGTTCTCACTGTCAGAAAGTTTCCCCTTATTTCCAGGTTGAATCTCTCCTTGTTCAGTTTCCATCCATTATTCCTTGTCAGGCCTTCAGGTGCTTTAGAAAATAGCTTGATCCCCTTCCTCCCTGTGGCAGCCCCTCACATATTGGAAGACCGCTATCATGTCTCCCCTGGTCCTTCTCTTTATTAGACTAGCCAAGCCCAGTTCCTGCAACCGTTCATGATATGTTTTAGCCTCCAGTCCCCTAATCATCCTGGTTGCTCTTCTCTGAACTTTTTCTAGAGTCTCAACATCTTTTTTATAGGGTGGTGACCAAAACTGGATGCAGTACTCTAGATGTGACCTTACTAAGGCTTTATAGAGTGGTATTAGTACCTCACTTGATCTTGATTGTATCCCACTGTTAATGCAAGTTAGGATTGCATTGGCTTTTTTGGCTGCTGTCCTTCTAGCCACCAGAGGGCAGTAGATAAACAGGAGATAAGGACTAGGAGATTGTGTTACTCTTTCCTTTTAGATCAGGGTTCTCCAACTTTGGCAACTTTCAGCCTGGTGGACTTCAACTCCCAGAATTCCCCAGCCAGTTGGAGACCCCTGACATAGACTATACTCCTGCAGTTCACAGTCTGCCTATCTTTGGGATCTGCAGTGGAGTGTTTACCTGAAGAAGACCGAGAATGGAAAGAGAGAGATTTGAAACACCAATAAAAAGCACTTTTATGAGCAGAGGGGGAAAAAAATATTCTTGCAGGCACGGTTTATTCTCAACCAGCACGGCTCCATTAACAGGACAGATTTAGAAGCAGAAGCAACCGACGTGGAGCCATGCTGGTTCTTTACAGAATGATATATGTAGGCGTGGGTGGGATAGATGGAAAATCGCTTTGGAGCCCCAGCAACGGAGTCCCTGAACCCCCTACCAGGCTGTCATTCCGAACTGAGAAGGGGCGGGGATGATGGGAAAGGAAGAGATCTGACTTTCCATGTCTTCTTCCCTTCCTCAGATCTGCACAAGGTCTTTGTCAGCAATTCCAACTCCTGGTGTGGTACCGTAGGGGACTCCATATCGGTCCTTGAAGACGACAGCCTGCAGCTTCAGTGTTCAGCGGATGCCTCCCAGACACCGCACTACGAGTGGATTCGAGAGGTAAGGGAGCGGGAACAAGGCTTCGGAATGGAACCGAATAACAGTGTTGGAAGGGACCGTAGAGGTCATCTAGTCCAACCCTCCACTCAAGCAGGATAACGTAAACCGTTTAGGACCCATGATTATCCACTCTCTTTTTAAAAACCTCCAGTGTTGGAGCGTTTAGAACTTCTAGAGGCAAGTCGTTCCCCTGGTTTATGGTTCCCGCGGTCAGGAAATTTCTGCTCGTTTCTAGGTTGGTTCTTTCCTTGATCGGTTTTCATCCGTTGCTTCTTGTCCTGCCTTCTGGTGCTTTGGAGAGTAGCCAAAAGTTGTGGGAGAGAAGGTTCTTAAGCATAGTTCTTTCCCTCCAGGTCGTTTTGTGGTCAAAGTTTCCCAAATCATCCCACAGGTGGTTTTTCAAGAGGCAACTGGACTTTTCTTGTTGTTGTTTTTCTTGAAAACCTTTTGCTTCTCATCCAAGAGGCTTCTTCGGTTCTGGCTAAATGTCGGGGGATGAAGGATTTATATTCTTTGCATGTCGGTCGTTTCTCCACCATCCAGCCAAAACTGAAGAAGCTTCTTGGATGAAAAGGCAAAGCGTTTTCAACGAGGGGGGGGGGGAGAAAACCTAGAAAATCCAGGTGCCTTTTTTCAAAAGCACCCTTGAGACAACCATGACCTGGACGATTGAGAATCTCCACAGACAACTTTCCCAAATCATCTTTGCAGGTGTCAGAAAGTTAGCCGAGTTTCATAGCTTCATTGGGTAGATCAAAAGCTTTCTGTTAATGGTTCTTTTCTTTTCTTTTTCTCCTATAAATAGGGCGATGACTGGATCCTGCCCTCAGGTTCCTTAACTATCTACAAGGTAACCCAGGAGCAAGCCGGGACCTATACTTGCCAAGCCCACCACCCAACTTTGCCACAGTTGACCAAGAGCAAATCAATCCGCTTGCTCGTGGAGAGCCCCAAACGCAGCTTCAGTTTTGGTGAGAAGCCCTGAATTTGGGTGTCCATTATGAAGTCTGGCCACTTGGTATCTTCCGTATTTGTTGGGAGAACTTTCTGGAAAAGAGCCCATCAGGTGTTGGAGTCCCTTGTTGAGATCCATCATCTTTAGGAACATCTGAGCAGTGACTCCTGGGCCCAATCAAGCCCATTTCTCTTTTCCTGCTGCCACAGACAACAATATTTACAGTCCAGCCCTGCAGCATACGATTACCTAGAAATTAAATCCTACTGTTTAGTGGGAGTTACTTGCAGACACCTTTCTGTGGGATTGAGATCTTGGGTGACTCTTTTGTGGAAAAAGTCAGCCAAAATGTACTCAGCAAAGACTAGCTTGCTGTGTGGACACAACCATGGAGGTTTGTAAAACATAGTTCATGACATCCCCTAAATCTCCGCTGAAGATGTTACCTAGGCTGGTAATGAAACGTTCGAAAACCAACCCACAACCTCAGAGAACGAACCTCCACCCTCAAACCTACTAGGATTTCAGACACTCCGTGTAATCTGGCACGTCTTTTATGGGGGGGGGAAATCCTCAGGAAAACCACCCTGTGGAACCAGCCCTGCCTAATTTGAAGGCTTGCTGGTGCCACTCCTCTTTTAATAACACCTTAGCTCCTGTCCCCCTGTGGGTGATCCTAGGGGCAGGGCTGACCACCACCTTTCTCTGCCCTCTGATGGAGGCAGGTGGGTGGAGGGCACTGAGGCTGGTTCCCATTTTGATGTTGACCCTTTTGTCTTCTCCAGAGTCCGTGCTGTCCCTCAGCACCCCAATGCTGGCCCTGGCGGTGGCCCTACCAGCTGTGCTGCTGCTGCTGTTGATTTTGGTCTTCGCTTTCCTTATTCCCCGTCACCGGGCAGCTGCCCTGAAGAAAATGGCTTTGTGAGTGTCCGGTGGGATTATTTGGGGGCTGCGGTGGTCAGGGACGTGCCTGATCTGGTCCCAGGTGGGGATTTGGAATTCTTTTTGCGCCTGAGTTTAATGGAGATTTGTGGACTACCCCTGGGAAGTGAGAATGCAATAAACAAACATGGAGTGACCGGTAACCTAGTTTGCCTCGTTCCTCAGACCAGCCTAGGCCATATCTTTCTCAGTTTGTGTATTTATGCATCAGTGGGGACAACCAGTTAAATGTTGGTCTTTCTTTTTAGGGAGGAATCTGGCCAGCGCACCCCCATTTACAAAGGGAGCCTCGACTCTGTGCCTTCTGTTACAGACACCCAGCCTCTGGTGATGTGAAGCAGATACACCGGTTAGTAAACTTGTATAGCGCGATCTATTTCTTTTTAAATCCTGGGAAGATCTCTTCATTCTTGATCAAAGTCTACAGAGATTCTCAGTCATTCTCAGGTCATGGTTTTTCCATGGACTTTCTTGTTTTTCTTCCTTTTGAAGACATTTCACTTCTCATCCAAGAAGCTTCTTCAGCTCTGACAGGATAGTGGGGGATGGAAGGATTTATAACAGGGGTGTCCAATTCAAGGCCTAGGGGCCAGATCCAGCCTGTGGGGTGCTTAGATTTGCCAACAAAGGACCAGCCCGGGATGCCTCTGCCAACAAAAACAGAGCGGCCATTGCGGCCGGAAACAGGGTCTGGGGAGGAGGCACGCATGACCCACCCAAGCTCCATTTTCCCTCTCAGAGCACTCGGACCTCCACAGGTGCCCCTGACATGAGTGACAAGCCCACCCTGGCCATGCTCACCTCAGAGGTCAAACACAATCCTGGTGCGGCCCTCAATGAAGTCAAATTTGACACCCCTGATTTATATTCCTTGCAGACAGCTGGCCATTTGCATCCTTTTAGAGGGTCATTGAGGCCGCTTGGAGTGTTTATCTGTGATTTCATTCTTTTTTTTTTTTTTTGTAAATTTTATTTGAGTTTTCACAAAGAGAAAAAAAAATACAAATAAAACATATTTTTTGAAAGTAGCGTAATCCCGGGTTACATTTCTTCGTACAGACACAAATTCAGGTTCATGCTCATTTTTATATTCTATTCCATATCTTATTACCATTTTACATTTTCTGCATAGCTTCTCCCCTCTTTTAATTTTCTCAATTTTATTTTAATTATCTCATCTCAATTCAAATCATTGTATTTATATTTTTTGTCTGTTCTGTTTGAATTATCTATTATCTTTTCTCATTAAACAAAATTTCTCCTATAGTTACTGATTGGAGTATGACGCCTTTATATCTTTTCCCTAAAGTTGTAACATTCAATATAATACATAACTTCCATTCGGATTCTGCTTGGTACATTCTTAAAATACACACTATTCTTAAAAAAAAAGAAAAAATTATAAATGTATATAATTAAAACATTCCATTCCAATTCAATTCTATCATTAATATTAATATTCATTAAAGTCTTAACATCTTTAACATTACTTTTCAATTAAATATCATACTTCTATGGGAACAATTATAAGCTTTCCATAGTTAATTCCCCCCCCCTTCACTTATATTTTATAAAACATTAACTAATTAAAATGTTCCCGTTCCTTCCTAATTCAATTTTCTCATTTATTTTATTTCACTTATTTTATTCACAAACATTTCACTAAATTACACTAACTATTTTATCCCTCATTTTAATCATACGTTGTTTCCAATTTTCTAAAGTTATTTCTATTACTAATATAACAATACAATCTTATGTACCTTTAGAGAATCCCTTTTTCATTTAGATTTTCACCCATTATCTCTAAATAGGTCCTGTTTCTCTATATCTTGCTCCGGTCCTTTGTAACTTCTTTTCCTTTCCTTCTTCCCAATCTTCTTCTCTCTCCCCTTTTTACCCCCTTGTCTCTCTACCTCTATTTCTCTCTTCTGTATTCCCCTTTTCTGTTGCTTTCCAGTATTATACTTATTTTTTGAATTATTTTTCTTTTCTTTGGTTGTTTTTTTAAGTCTTAAATTCTCCATTCTCTTCCCCCCCCCTTTCCTTTTTCTTCCTCACATAAAATTGCTTGTTCATTAAAGATGGCTTCTTCTTTGTCCCAGTCTTCTTGTTTTGCAGTCGTTTCTTGTTGTTTCTCATAGTTCCAAATCGCCATTTCTAAGAATTCAAAAATGAAGCCAAAAGGACCCTTCCCTTCTTGTGCATCTTCTTTGTACTTTTTAAGTTCCATTTTCAATTGATCCAGAAGTGGTGCCACTGTATAAATTTTTAAACAACCACCCGATTGATTTTAGTCATTCAAATATAATAACCAAGAATCCAAAGATCACCAAATAATCCAAACACACGCAAGCTGTTTCTTTTTTGCTCTTTTTTTCACTTTCTCTTCCTGGGGTTACTATTTAGTTGCAAAGTTTCAGTTAAAATATATCTTTTAGAAGTTGTTGAAGTTTTACTGTAGATTCTTTTTTATTCCAGGCAGTCTCCTCCCTCTTCCAGATCCTGCCCTTATTCTTTTTCTCTCCCTTCCTGCTTATGAAAAAGAAAATTTTTAATGTCCAGAAATCTTTATTATCCCTTTGGCATTTTGTTTTATTTTCAGCTTAATTGCCTATTGATGTCAAAGCGGATTTTTCCGATTTCTTATTTAAGTCTCTTAGTTGTCAGTATAGGGAAGGAGAGAGAAGAAAAAAAAAGCTAAACCTTTCCCTTTCAACTTTCCTTCGCTGCTTCCGACTCTTCTTTGGGAGCGATGTTATTTTTTGTAAGTTTAAATTCCAGGGTACCTTAGTTGTTGCTTTTACAATTTAACCCGGTCAGCCAAAACTTTCACTTCTTATCTTCCTCCTGCACATTCTTTTCCGGTCGAGTTCTCCTTTGTGGTGGCCATTTCTGACCACCGCTGCAACCGCCTTCGGGAAAGGGAGTAATGGCCAGCTGAGGAGGAGAGATGCAGCTCTCCTCAACCCTGCTGGCGGTCTCCCCCCTCTTCACCACCTCTACAGGGTGGCTTAGCCCCGAAACCAGCCGGCTCGGGGCGTTCCAGCGGCGAGCCCAGACAGAAACCGCGCACGATCGCGGATTTCTGTCTGTCGCCAAAGCCCTTCAAACCGGAAGTCCCGTGATTTCATTCTTGATAATTCTTCATAATTATTTCCATAAAAGAGTACAGCTAGTCCTCATCTTATGACCATTTGAAATCACAATGAACTTCCCTGGGGGTTCTTAAAACCTAGTTCTGAAGTTTCAATGGCTGCCCCGGCATCACATGACTTCATGTTGGGCACTTGGCCGGCCAGCTGGCATGTATAACCATTGGCAGTGTCACATGGTCACTATTTTATGACGATTTTGCCAAAACTTGGCATTTACTTCTGTTTTGGTAAAATTGGCGCCTAAAAAAAATCATTGTTTTTTTTTAACAGCTGCAGTGATCGCTTTAGGGCAGAGGTCTCCAAACTTGGCAACTTTAAGACTTGTGGACTTCAACTTCCAGAATTCCTCAGCCAGCATATCCTGAGCGTTGAAGTCCACAAGTCTTAAAATTGCCAGATTTGGGGACACCTGCTTTACGACCATGGTGGTCACTTTAACGATCCCCAGCAAAAAATCAGGTTACTCACATAGGCAACCTGTTTCACAATGGTCACAACTTGTGACCATGATAGGCAGGCTCTGCTACAGTCATAACCCAAGGACTATTTGTATAAACCAACTCACAAAATATGTCGTTTGGGGGGAAATGGGCAGACATTTTTCCTTGATATGTTGGTGTCTGGAGGGGAATCTGATCATTCAGAAATCTATGGAGGGTTTTAAAAATGCTTCCCCCGTGGCATTGCCTGAGGTCGATCTGACTTTATAGTTCAGGCAGCTTAAAAAAGGAGAGGACTTATCTTGCAAATTTATTTATATCGTCGTAGTTGTTTTTTTAAAGGCTCGGGAAGCCATTCTCTCAAAATCTCCTTGAACAGATTTTCAGTACAGTTTTAGGCAAAACAGATGTAAAGAGCAGTGGGAAGATATTAAAGAAAGACTGTTATTAAAAAAATGAAATTGTTTGGCTCTCCTTTAGAATGCTGAGAGAGATAGGAAGGTCAGCACACACACAAAAAAATCACCTGACATTCTGCTTAAAAGTTGGCAAACCCTTTTGAACATTCGATATTCCACCATAAACATGGCCTCAAACGTGACCCTTTCTCTACACTTCCTAAAATTAGCCTAGGAGATCATTTCCTGCAACAAATCAATGAATAAGTATAATGTTGTGTGGGGGGGGGGGGTTGTTTAATTGGGTTGTCTGTATCTTGTGTTGTGGTCTGCCAACTGCCAGACTTGGACAATGAGGAGGTTGGGGAGGAATTTGGCCCAGTCCTGGAGTCTGGGGAAGGCTCTGATGGATGCTCTATGTTGGAAGCAGAGATAGGGCCAGGACCATCCAACATTTCCCAGCTGCCTTCGGAGTCAGAGATAAGTGAGGAAGAAGAACAGCTGGGGCCTGTTCCAGATGCGTGTATGCGCAGAGCTGTCAGGAGAGGAGAACAAACAAAGGAACAGGGGCTGACTTGGGAAGAAAGGCACACGTGGACGCTGAATGGGCCCTTCCTGGGGAATAAATAGAAGCAAAAGGGGAGTGGTGGTTGCAGGAGACAATAGTTCTTATTTCGCTTGGAAGATTTACTTATCATGGTTGGTTCGTGCCTCACAGAGACTTCTTAATTTACAGCTTTGCGACTGGAAGCTCTCGGCCTGGTAACTATCCAAGGACTCATAAGATCTGTTCTTACAATTAATCCGTGGAAGTATTATTGGCGGGACTTTTCTGTGTGTGAATGCCATGAATTCACAGTAACTAAATAAAAAAGGATTTTTCGGGACAAAGCGTCTGTTTCTTGGTTCCTGGGTCAGAACATCTTGTTTTAGGACATGTAGAGAACAGATCTCATTTTAGGTCATGTTTATGCAGGAATATTAGAACGTTCGAAAGGATTCATCTATTTTTAAGCACCACTGTAGAAGTTGGAGCAGTGAGGTGCTGTTGCTGGAGATAGTTAGGATTTCCTCATGGAGTTTGTTTGGGTATCTTATACCAGTTGGCACTAACTGGAGCAGTGTTTTTCAATCTTGGCAACATTAAGACATGTGGACTTCAACTGTCAGAATTCCCCAGCCAGTGTGGAATTCTGGACATTGAAGTCTGCACATTTTACAGTGGCCAAGGTTGAGAAACACTGAACTGGAGGATTTGGGTGTGAGGTAATACTTTTGTATCTGGAGAATATCAAGCCAGGGGCTGTTCATTAAACCTTTAGGATCCCTCTAAATCAGATTTTTTAAAATTGGCAACTTTAAGATGGGTGCACTTCGACTCCCAGAATTCCACACTGACTGGGGAATTCTGGCAGTTGAAGTCCACACAACATCTTAAAGTTGTCAAATTTTGAAAAACACTGAGTTAAAATATCCTTCGCAACAACTACCAGCTGTGTTAACCTTTTTTGTTTTTTCCCTTTCCATAGGATGAAGTGAACTTTTTCAAGATCCAACTTTTTTTCCTGTATTGATTATAGACTGGCAGCAATAATCCTCAGTGTACAGTAACTGGTTGTTTTTGTGTATATTTAGGGGAATTGTTATCCTGACTTTTGGGGGGACCCGTTTGGAAAAATTGAGGGGGGCAGAAGTGATATCGGGGTGCCTGTGAATCTCTCCTTTCCAGCTACATTAGCTGCTCTTTGCCTGCCATTCTTTCTAAGCTAAAATACTATTTTTTCCCCTGTGGCTCATTTGGCCAATATCTACCCTGACAAACATTATTTCTTTCATGTTTGGACAGATACTGTCTCTTTATATTTTTTACTTTTTAACTTAAGAGTCAATGAATGAAGAATAAGGCACTGGATTATTATACCTTTTGTTTGTTGAAAATAAACAAGCATTGGCTCTTTTCTACAGTAGCGCTTGTTCTCCAGCAGAAGAAAATTTGTAATAAAGAGAGAAGCCTTATTTAAAAACTCAAAACAAATCCTACCCAAGGCAGGAAGACTCCGATTATGAAAGACAAAGTTAACATTCCAAAAGCAAGAGAGGGTCTTTGTCAGGGGTGGCGCTGCTGGCGGTTTGCAGGGGTTCGGGAGAGACCCTAGCTAAGATTCTGCACAATTCGGAGAACCCCCAAATCCCAATTCTAGCTGGCCCCACCCACCCCTCCCCGCCCAGGATTCCCCACATGTCGTGTTTTGGATGCAGGTAAGTACAGGGTGCGCACGGAGGCTCATGGAGGGTGAAAAATGAGCCTCCTGGGAGTTTGAGAAGGCCAGAAATGGGCCTGGTTTTGGCTTCCAGAAAGCCTCCGGAGCCCGGGGTGGCCGTTATCACCCTCCCAGAGGCTCGAGGAAAGCCTCCGGAGCTTGGGGAGGGCAAAAGTGCACCCCCCCCTGCCGTGGTGCAGGAGGCCAACAAGGTCACGCCCACCCAGCAACCGGGCAGAGAACCCTTTGCTAAAAATTTTGAACCCTAGCCCTGGTCAGAGCCTCCCAAAATGGGTGGGCGCCGGGAAGGGGAGGCCGATTAACACTCTATCAACCATGTGGTGTTTCATTTTCCTTGTTTGTGGTGATATATTCTGCACCCCATCTCCTCACATTTCACGTGTGGTCCTCCGTAGGCCCCGCTGCAAGAGCCCGCAAAGACATCTTCGCCTTTTCTGCAAAACGCAGCATTGAGAACACATGGAGGGATAAAAAACAACCGCTTATTATTTTAGGAACCTCGCAGAAGGTCTCTCTTTGACCTGGAGTGCAGTCCAACATCTAATCTGTTTGACGTTTTTTTGGTTTTTGTTTTAATCATTCTCCTTTTAGACCAGGGGCCTCTAATCTTGGCCACTTTAAGCCTGGCAGTCTTCAACTCCCAGAATTCCCCAGTCAGCAAAGCTGGCTGGGGAATTCTGGGAGTTGAAGTCCGCCAAGCTTAAAGTGGCCAAGATTGGAGACCCCCTATTTTAGACTCTTGCTGTGATCCAGAGTTTTCTGAAGCTCTGCATCATGACCCTGAGGGGTGTTTTTTGTTAGAGCTTTGCAATTCAGTCTTAAGGTAATAACGCCTTGAATTTTCAGCGGTGTTTTGCTATTATTTGCATACGAGCGCATGCAGAGAAAACGGGGAGGGACAGCTGGTGTACGGGGAACCGGTATATATCATGCTGTCTCCGCACTATGCAGTTTAAATGTCTCCCCCCCCCCCAAATCCAGCACTTCCGTTCATCAAAATAAAAAATAACAGAATCTTGCCACGGTAGCGGTTCGGAGCGAGTGGCATCAGGGTTTTTTCTCTTCCTCCCACCCCTTTTTATCACCCGCATTGTCTACAGCGCCCCAGGGGCCTATAAACCAGGCTGAGCCAAAGACAGCGTAGAGCGGTATACCCCCAACTTGGTACAGAAACCAATCATAAAAGGCCTCCGTTGGATATTCAGCGCTC